TAAACTTAAAATGACGACTCGTTCTTCATAAAAATAGACATAAAAATAAGAAATGAGAAAAAATAGAGAAAGAAAGAAAAAAGAAGAAAAAAAGAAAAAAAAAGAAAAATGCAACTTTCATATTGTAGCATTTTCATAATATGATAGACATTGTCTACATTTCTTTTCTTTTTTTCTTTTTTTTGTTCGAAAAATTTCTTTATCCTACTAAGAATAGAGAAAATTATTCTATCCATTTTATAACAAGAATAGTAACTAAGTCATTCAAATGAAAAAAAGGGGAAGAAGATTTTTTCATTTCTATAGCATAGGTGTAAATTTATATTTGAAGAGAAAATACAAAAATCGATTTAGTTACCAGTTGAATAGTTAACTTATTTATTGATTGATATTCGTTACATTATAAATTAGTATATTTTAGTTATCTAGTTACCATGTACAGATATATATTTACTTGTTAGATGGCCCCTAAATGCCTTGGTACAGTCGAGAGTAGGGAGAGTCCACTCTCCCTCTAGAAATGCTCTCACACGGCCACACGTATATAGCCTCTAACAGGGACGTCCTACTCACTGCCTTCTTGTGGTATCAGTGTTGTTTACGAAACTGAGAGCACGAAAAGCGAATTTTCAGTGCATTAACTGCGTCAATGGACACGGATAGTTCATCTAGGGGAGTTCGAAAACCCTGATTCCAAAACAATGGTACACATGGGCTCCAGTATCCTGAAGAGAATAAATAACATATGAATCAATAGTTGGTCACCGGCTACCATGGGACTGCATCTCCTCACGATGCTCCACTGCCTTGTGGATCAGATCTTTCGGTCAAAGGCTCGGGGTGTGATCACCTAAGGAAACCACCTGCTTCAGTTTGGGAACCTGTTCAGTATCACATCCCTCACACAAATCGAATGAGATTTGTGAGGCGCATATTTATCTGGTGCTTCCTTGTACCAATATTTATGTGTTTAAATAAATAAATACTTGTTAGATGCCTTAAATGAAATGTTGTGAAGTTACTCATCTGTCTAGACAGAGTTTAAATGAAATAAGATTTGATAGTGCTTAAAGTTTAAATTTTTAGTGAAATACTTATATATAGTACATTAATTTCATAATGTTGTCATAATAGTTTCTCCAACTCACTGAATCCTTCAACATGTAAATGGTGTACAATTCAGTGAATCATTGAAAGGTACACCTTATTAATGGTGTTCATGATTTCAAAAGAATGATGGCAGCATAGAAATTCAATAAACAGAACATTGAATAAGCTGATTCATTTGTTTGATAGTAAAAATATCACGTTTTTCAAAGGGTTCAGCTGACATTTGTAATCATTAATTAAATGTCCGTAAAACATAGGCGAGATATGAACTATTTACATTGTTCCCCTATCTTAATGAAATCAAATTAAATTTCTAAAAAAATCAAACATGAATTGATATTTTGTGTACAATTTAAGGTAATGACGATTGAAGAATAAACAAAGGAAAGCATAGATGAACAGTGGCTAGGAGTGGAATCCAGGACGTGCGTTTCGTCCTATTTGGGACTGGTCAGTCGGATATACCTGCATTTCAGAGTTGATGTTCACTCTGGGACTCGAACGTAGTACTTTTCGCTTCAAACGCCATCTCGTTATCTACTTAGTTACTGAGTTCTAATAGCCACTCTGATATGCAGGTACATCCAGGTGACGAGTCACAAATAGGATGAAACGCGCGTCCTAGATCCCATTGCTAGGCACTATCCAACTTTGCTTATAATGCTTGTGAATTTAGGCTATACTGAGACAATACGCACAGTATGCAAATATATGCCAATTAGAGACTGACAAGTTGCAGTCCTAAAAACATCAATGGGAAGATTCAAACAAATAATACTAAGTTGAATTTAAAGGAAAGAATATGTTATCTAGATTTCATGATTTAGCTAATTGTCAATCATTTCAGATTAATATAACTTTGGTTTTTCGCTTCATATCGGATAGATACACACACATTTTTATTAATAATAATAGATTTCATTGTTAGGAAAATTCAAGTAGAACGTAATATGTACTCTAAGCTTCACTATTACCCATGGTTTAATTGTATGAAAATATAATTTAATGAATATGTCAGTGTGATATGCTCAAAATCACATGCAGTTCTGAATACCAACACATTGAACAAAATAAACTATTACCAATAACATTTCAGCATGTTAAATTTATCTATAAGACGGACCATATTCATTTAAGCATAAAAATAAGGAGAATTGGTTCATCAAAGAGATCTCTCTTTAGAGAATTCATTTTGAAAGCTATGTATAGGCAAAATATATGCATCTTTTCCACAATGATAATAATGTGTTGAACAAGCAAATGATTATTTGTATTCAGTAGTTAAATGGATAACGGTTGAGCCGCTTGAAGTAAGAGACACTGATTTTGAGTTTTGGATAAGTATTAACACTGAGATACAATTACATTCAGCTGATGAGTACTAAATATCTGGAAACACCTGTCTTCAATTATACTGTCAGCCGCTATTCAACTTTGATAGTCATATATTTATTTTTAAAAAAAATCGAGTTCACACAGTAAGAGAACATTTTTGTTCAAGTATATGATTTTGTCTCAGAGTTGTTCATTGGTTGCATTTGGAAATTAGTTTAAACTTTCAAGTCTTATGAATATTACACGTTCATTAGGCTCTATTTGAATTCCGTGAAATCCTTTTACAAATCGATTTAAAACATACATCATAAAGTCCAGAAACTCTTGAATATATATGTAAGCAAAACAAACTTGATTCAAAGTTTGCCGATAGACTAGCAGAATTTTCCCTAAATTTTCATGTGGTTGAGACGATATATTGCAAACTAATCGCTTAGCTACTTATAAGTAGCATAAATATATTGACAAAATTCACATTGTAAGCAGAGAAGGATAGTGGGTAGCATTGGAATCCAGAATGGGCGTTCCGTCTTATCTGCATCTCAGAGTTGATTTTCATCCAGGGACTCAAATACAGTACTTTTCACTTCAAACAAGATAGCGTTATCAACTTAGCTACTGAGTCCAGATAGCTACAAGCTTGAGCAATGGTGTCAAGTTGTAATTCATTTGTATTGAATTTTTAAATCTTCCCCATTGATAGCAGAGATGGATAGTGGCTAGCAGTGGAATCCAGGACGCGCGTTTCGTCCTATTTGGGACTCGATGGGAAGATTCAAACAAACAATACTAAGTTGAATTCCCCATTGATGTTTCAAAAAATCAAGCTTAAATATTCATCAAAATATAGATAACGGAATTATCATTGGGAAAGGGTGGCTTGAGATTAAATGTAATCAGGAGGATCATAGAAACAGAAATAAACCAGTTGAGGGTGGGAGAATTAAGGAGAAGATAGAAAGGGAAGCAGAGGACTGTAAAGAAGGAAGAGTATGAAGAAGAAAAATTTTCTAATACCTCTGTTTATTTTACCTCACTGTCACCATGTCTAAAAGAAGTTTAACATCATTATTATTGTAATTATTATCATCCTGAAAAACATGAGTTTATATATTTGCGACTGTGCAACTTTGGAAATGAATTCGCCGAAAAGAGAAGTCTTCGCTGAAGCAATCTTTCTTAATAAATGTCTTGTTGGATGTACTGCGTGTACTGAATATTATGTGACATAAATAAAAGGAAAATGTCGTCTGATTAAGTCATAGCATACGATATATGATGTATCTGAAAATGTTTGGAATTTGGTTTACTCCTAGGTATTGAAAATTTAGTTAGCTTTAGTTTAACTGACTATTATATCTGGAAACTTATACTCGACTGATGTTATTTGGGAATTTGTTAAGTTATTATTTTCACGATATGGAGGTATTAGTCTACTTTAGTATTCTTGGTTATAATGAAACATGGGATTAGGTACATTCCTAATTTGCTCTAACAATGCTTACTTTGTGTGAACATAGACAATGGTGGTCTTACGTTTACTTAAGTAGGTAACTTACTGATATATACACAGATACGTCTTTTACAACGAATTTATTTCACTGGATTATACTCTTTGAATAACATCTTCAAACCTTAATCTTTCGGATTACTATTTATACTATTTATAATGTGGTATGGCAACTCGAACTGATGTACGTACGAACGAAGTTCTACGTTGTAACTGACTGACTGACTTTACAACATTCAGAAACTACATACTAGTGTGCATAACTATAAGACACAAATGAAATGCTGAGAACTTTCATATGAGAATGGAATGGATGTACAATGATTCCAGGTTTTCAATTGCAGTCTAACCTAGATCGATTCGTGATTCCAATGTAATGAAATTACAGTTGAATATATCTTATGGATAAGCTATAATCTAATATATGAATTCAAGAATTGGATGAACGGCTGAGTAGAGAGACAAAATCTAGTTCGTTCACAACCTACTCAAGAATTTGAACCATCTAGTTTCAAACATTACCAATATGATGCCATATTTTAAAGTTGTTCATGCTGAATAATGATCAATGCTAATAGTATGTATTCATACACTATGATAAATACTGAAAAGAAAGCTAAGACATAATCCTTGCTGACATATTTTCCTTTTCATCTACTGTTTGAAGAAAAAGATGATTACACTGAAATTCATGCATTCGCTATATATGGGGGATGAGAAAATTTGTCATAGCAACTGAAGTGTTAGGAGAGCGACGAACACATTGGGCCGGTAATTGGAGGCGGACATTATAGAAATGAATAACCCTTGGAAACAACTGGAAAGAAGAGCATAGAACAGAGTTGGTTGGAGAATCCTGGTCGGTAGTCGATGGTCCACTAGCGATAACTAGAGTAAGTAAGTAGTATACTCAAAGTATGCATACATACAAATGTCTTTTTTCAGAGGGGAGGAGATCTGTGCTTTCTACATACATGGACTGATAACAGAAACAATGAAAACTTTTGGAAGCCTATAAAAGCTGTATTAATGATCTATACTAGTTTCAAATATTTTCAGATTGAATGTTGTGAACTGAATCTCGTCTATGATTGGAAACAAGTCGCAATCTGGATTTAAGTGAGAGGATAAGATAAATTAGTTGTCTGTTCCAATCCCCTCCCTCTTTTTCCGTGCCACATCCTCTTACTTCATATAGTGTTCAATATTAAAATCAATTGAGAAATAAAATAGAGTCTAATGTTAATAACCAAACAAAGTTTTTTTTAAAATTTACCTTCGAACAGCTTTTCCATATGGTAAAATAACACAATCTTCAATTGCACGCATAATTAACTCAAAATCCATTGCTTGTATAGGCCTTAAATGTACACGTATAGCTGGTGTAAATGTATCACCATTACGATAAACACTGAAAAAAAAGGGGAAATATATTTACGTATGCATATATTGTTTGTTAATAACATTGACAACGTTGAATGCTAGCCGGCTCAGTGTTCTGTCGGTTAAGGGCTCTGGCTCGAGACTGGTATGTCCTGGGTTCGGATCTCGCGAGTGCGGGATCGTGGACGTGCACTGCTGAGGAGTCCCATAATAGGACGAAACGGCCGTCCAGTGCTTTCAGGTTTTTGATAGTGGTCTAGCTTCAATTGACTCATGATTTCAACTATGAAAATACTAAAATCTTCACAAAACCCCTTCTGATATATAATTTTGTTAAACATAAACAATCGTAATTATGGATGTATCTACACAAAGGTACAGTTCAGCAAGGAGATCTCTTTCTTACACAATTATTCTTAAAGTGTTAAAATTGCAAATGTATCCTTTTTTACAATGATAATTTGCAAATATTTCCAAATAAAAGTTTAACATGTGGGACAAAATTAGTGAAGGGTCATTCTAAACTCCCTCATGATGAGCATTTGGGAACCTTTTCCCCTTGTCTTATCATAGGACACGAGGTGACCTTATACTGGTATTTCATATCTTTAATTAATATGTTTTATCTTTTTGCTTCTTCCAGCACTAATAATCTCCGAGGTCATAGCAAGAAGTTTCACAAACCGCGATCTAATAAACTAAAGGTGGGGTCCCGTTTTTCTCATCAAGTGGTCAATGAGTGATCCGAACAAGTGGTATCAGCCCCATCAGTGAACACTTTCAAGGAGAAGCTGGACCTTTACTGGAAGGCAATCTCTCAGGATTAACACAGGTTCATCAACCTACTATCCTTATTACTGAAAACTGAAGACTGAGATAGCAACTAGAAATCATAATAAGAGAGATAAGACATTGAATGTTTGATTAAACATAGTTAAGATTGATGCATATTAATGCTTTGAATGAATAGTCATGTAGGGTAGAAAAATTAAGATTACAGTTACTAATTGTTATAATTAACAAATAAATACACGTCAATCTTCACTAAGATTAACCACACCAATTGTTAATTTTATTGCTCTTATCGATATTGGAATTTGTACAAAATAAGTGAACCTTGTGGTTTTTATAAACAAAGATGGATAGTGGCTAGTAATGGAATCCAGGACGTACGTTATGTCCCACTTAGGACTTATCAGCTAGATGTACCTGCATCTAAATTTTTAGGTGACTGGGTCACTATTCTTCCATACAATAAAAAGGGATACTTAGGGTTCTTTATAACATACAAAATGAATTGTAAATCATGTAGAAGACCTTAAATTCCTTAGATATATATTACACAATAACATGTAAACATACATATACGTATATAATATCATCTTTACTAACTTACTATATAACTTTGACATTACGACGAAATCCATCAGATAATCTACCAACTTGACTTTTTAAACGTATATGACGTTTTCTCCAATACTAAACGTAAAAAAAAATGAAATTTAAATAAAAATATCTTGATAATGTAATAAGAAGGCAAAGATCATCAGAACTATGTGATGATAATATTAGAGCAATACATGTCTAGTCAATCTGATCACACTTGTTAAGAACATTTGTGTATAAAAATAAAAGGTCAACTAGACTGGAAATGTGGGGGGGGTAAGAGTAGACAAGGACAATAATAATAATAATAATAATAATAATAATAATAATAATAATAATAATAATAATAATAATAAGAAGAAGAAGAAGAAGAAGAAGAAGAAGAAGAAAACAATTTGAAACCTGACCACTCTGGATAATAAGCTAATATTACCAGGGTAGATTTAAGGAGAGAACAAACTGTTTTCGAATACACAAAGGGGGGTTTGAATTTTCGTATGGCTAAGGCTTCAATAAACCTCAGTATACTTACTCCCTTTTACACTTTTATACAACACCACAAAAATCGAGTTAAGATCAATCTTATGATCTGTTTCGATTATATGATTATATCTGGAATTGATTAAATGTAATGGAAATAATGAAAATTAAGTCATAACTATGATTTTTCAAAAATTTTCTTTATACTAATTATTGTTACATATATTTATAAGTTGTAGAAATGATTTGATTATGCTATGTCTAATCCTGAATATTGTATACACAGTTGAAATCATGAGTCAATTAAAGCTAGACCATTATGGAAAACCTGCAAGCACTGGGAGGCCATATCGTCCTATTGTGGGACTCGTCAGCAGTACGAATCAACGATCCCACATTCGTTAAATAAAATTGTCCATTTTCATAACATCCAAGTTAGTTTCATATAATTATTAACTCTACTGATGAATAGTGTATATCTAGAGATTTATTGACTAAATATTGATATCTAGGTTGCAGATATTCGTTTCTGCCTGTGGATAAAGCGATAATCAAGTGACTTTGAGTTATCTACACTCTATAACATCTTGATGATAGTTGAGGATCAAACTGGTGGTATGACCGTTATAGTAGTAGTATATCTGATGGTTATTAAAATGTTATCTCCTGGTGTCCTCATAGATTTTATTAACGGTAGATTCACCTTATTTCTTTACTTTTTGAATTTTTTTTATGAGTCTTAAGACCATGACATATAACTTTGTACCCCATCACATTACAATTTCTACCTCTATTGTTATTGTCTGAGTTAAATACCATGCACCTCAACCCCAGTGGATAAATAGTAAACTTTCCGCCTTTTCTCTGACTGAATTATTGACAAGATATTATTCGGGGAATATAGGGGTCTCCGAACTCTGATCGGATTCGTTCATTTTTGAGCCGAGAAGAGAGAAGAAAGTAAAAGTTTACTCCATCCTGGAAATCAGGCAGTGATAGCTCAAGATCATAATTTCATGTTAGTAAAGTGGTCTCAATACGTTAAAGGAATAAAAGCATTATAATCAGTAAAATTTACCAGTACATGAAGCAAATCATAAATATAATCCCAATATAAGTGTTGTTACATGATGAACCCTTATCATTTCTTTGGAGGAGGAATATGATATCACTGTCTGGATCAATCCTAACATACAGATTTATATTGATTCAACGTTAAGTGACCTACAGACCAACTTCTTCTAATCGCTTTTGATATTTTATTACGTTACTTTTTGTGCTAATATCTCGGTGTCAAGTAAGTCACTTCATTAAATAAGAAAAACTTGTCCTTCCGACTGATGATCTTGTCTGTGATTTACAACCATTCTTCGTCTCAAGTTCATAATTCGGTCTAGTTAACAGCCGTTGCTCGACTATATCTTTTATCATTGCATTTAATCATTTGATCAACATTCTTTTCACTGATTTTGACAATTGAGAATTCATCCATCAATTCATTAAAATCATCCTCTCTTACACATACAAAAGTTTTTTGAAGGTTTTTTGTTCATAAATATTTAAATTTTTTTTCGCTTGTTCACTTTGAAATTCCTTAAAGATGTCTCCTTACATTACTCATAATCAGCATACTCAAATACTAGTCACAGATCACGTGAAATCATTTCGATATAGAGTTGATGAATTAATTCAGTTTTGTACATATGAAAAAACAGGGAAGATCCGATTTTATTAAAAAACTATTAGTTTTCATAAGCTGTAAGATCAAACGTTAAACCGTGTAGTTCGTTCTAAATAACCAAGCGATATCGCCTCTTGAAAGATGGTTGGAAACAATCAATAAAAAGTCGTTTGAAACCTGCTTATTTGTTATATCCGGAATTTTAAATGAAGTTATTCTTTCATGGGACTTAAATTCGCATTAACCAGCATCACATTCAGAGGCTCTGTGATTCGAATCTAGAGTGAACTCCTGTAAGGCATCTCCATGTTTAAATCCAACTAATTAACACCACAGAAGGATTCGTCGCGATGTTCACTCATTCAATCACAAAGTAAAAAATTTACTGATTAATGCACAACCCATGGTTGATATGGGTACTAATTGACCTCTTCACAGAGTGTGTTGCCTTCAGCTGAAAATATAAATCTATAGTCAATTAGCAGAGTATCTTTGAACGTTAACCATAGATTTATGAACTGTAATATTAAAATCATTAAGCATTACTGAGTTTCAGTTTCAATTATGTAAATGAACCTACTTTGACACATAGTTAAGTTAATAATTTTATTAATTATCAGAAGGGGTTTATGTGGAGATTTAGTATTTTCATAGTTGAAAGCGTGAGTCAATTGAAGCTAGATCACCATGGAAAACTTGGAAGCATTGGATGGCGATTTCGTCCTATTATGGGACTCCTCAGCAGTGCGCATCCACGATCCTGCACTCGCGAGATTCGTGAGTTTCATCTGTATGATGACCATTACTAGGTAGTTTACAAACTTTGTTTTTCTTTCTTTACTTAAAACTTATTTTTATAATTTTAATAATATAAGATAGAATTGAATATCTAGTTACCGAGTACTAAACGAATCTAAGTATAGATTATCTATGCTACTATGCACTTTTGTATTTTACAAAAAAAACTAGTTCCTAAGGTCAAAATGCAAAAAAAAAGAACCAACTCAGATGGATCTTACGAAAAAAACCAACAAGCAATACTTCTATATGCAAACTGATTAAAATAATGTTAACCAATTATTAATTGATCTGTTTTTTTCTTCTTTTTCTCTCAACACAGGTGATAATTATAATACAATTTGAGGAATAGTAAAGTACAATCAAGTTTCTCTTTTTTTTGTTAATCTTAAGAAAGTGATCTATACAAATAAGTTTATATCAGAAAGGGATTTTTTGTGGATATTATAGTAATTTTAATAGTTGAGATCATAAGTCAACTGGGTCTGTTGTGAGACTTTACGACATTTTCATAAGGCATATTAGGTAAGCGTTAACACAAACATATTCGAGGTGTTTTTTAACAAAAGTCTCTCACTAACTATGATCAAGAGATTTTGGTTAGCACTAACGAACTAAATGAATGTGACATTGGTCACTAATCCCAGGTTAAACGCTTGTAACTATTTCAGTCCTACAGGAAGTCAATCGAGACTTGAATTGCTCAATGTCAACAATTTAAGCTGTAAAGTTACGCGATGAGAGTCCGAATCCCAAGCGGAGCATCAGTTCCTTCAGCACTATAGGTACACGTTTCTGAAGTATACCAACTAGCAGGAAACCTTGGTCATGAAGGGTTTCCTCTTAACTACCTCTAAACACCAATTGGATTTCCTGTAACGTCTTAATGATTAGCAATCAGTCATGTAGCAGAATATTTATTTTGTTTCACAATAACTTAATTGTATTCATATTAAAAATTACCAGCTTTTATATTCTCAGCGTTTTTTTATTAAGGTATTAAGATGAAAAGCAGTTTACCTATAGGGAGGGAGTTACCGCTGCTGCTTGTATAAAGCATCATATACTATGATAAATTACCACTAATACTTATTAAATTTTACGTTCGATGAGTCGAGTTGGTAATTTTTTGTTCTGACCAAGACAAAACTAGCTGTTCATAGTTACTTTCACATAAGTATAAGATTGTTGGAAGTCAATACAAGATAATTAACATGTGGAAAAATTTCAGTGAACGGTTATGGGTCACAATTTTTGTATAATGAAAAAAGATGAGATCCAGCTTCCTAGATCAAAATGAATAGAATAGTATTTGAATTGATCTTTTTATTCGTTGGATATCAAATTCTCTATGCACTAAGTTACCCATCTACATCTAACTGTGACATAATTTTAGGTGGCGAGACTACAATTTATGGACGACCTATGGACGAATCTTGAGTGATCTTGAGAAACGTTAGCCAATCAGGAAACAGTCAGCATAGAGTGAAAATATATTATACAAAACCAAATAATTAAGGTGGATACACTTCTTTTATATGGTCCAAAAACTTGTCAAGGCTAGAAAGAGGTTCAAAGGTTCCCAAATCGTAATGCATACGGTAGAGAACCTCATCGGTATAGCTCCATAATACTCAGTCTTTGGAGCCATGATAAGGTCACAGAAACCCTCTCGGCCTCCACCACATAGCTTCAATATTGTTTGTGTACTCCGGTTGTGCAAATTTATCATTTTTATAATGGATGTGTCCCTACAATACTCATACCACTGAACAGCCGAAGTTTCAGTGACATCTGAGATTATTGCAGCCGATTTTACTGGTTCTTTTATTATACAGTTCGCGAAAATTATTGTAATATGCCTTAGTCTCAATCTGTATCGAGCAAAAAAGGTTCCTATCCTAGCAAACGTCTTTCTTCAAATGATGTTACATCGAAGGACATCACGGTAACCTGCACAAGGTCTACAAGTCACTTAATACCCGCAATTACAAATACAAGAACTTCTTAGTAGTCTCATTTGTTGTAGCCGCTTAATTGTCAAATCTTCTCTAAAATCCTCTGTGAACCAACCGTACATGAGCACCAGGTACTGAAACTGAGGCCGTGACCTTGCGATCCCTCAAACTTCTGATTGGCTCGTCCATAAATTATTGTCTTGCCAAATTGTTTACTTATTAATATGGAAAAATCACTTGTAAAAAAATTATAAAAAGGAAGAAAGGAAATATGCTAATTTATTGATTATACCTTCTCAAATAATTCTGATGAAGTATGATGATTTGATGCATAGCGTGATTTTTCATCAGCTTTATGATAACTGTAAAACATTTTAGAGAAAAAAATGTTATAAAAGTTAAACATCATTAATTCTCAAATCAAATCATAATAGTTCAGAAAAACTGAGACTTTGTACGGTTAATGTTGCAACAACTTCTTAGAACACTTACGCCTGTTATTATTCTCCAGCCAACTCTGTCCTGGACAATTCTTTCCAGTTGTTTTCAGTTCGACATTCATCCTTTTCATGTCTGCCTCCAATTATTAACGTTGTATTTTCTTTAGTCTTCCAATTCTCTGTTTCTCTTCAGCAGTCTAAGATATCACTTACTTCCTGATACAGTTTGGTGATTTCCATAATGTATATCCTATCCACCAACTCCACTGTTTTCTACTGATTTCCTCTTCAGATAGAAGTTGATTTGTTCTTTCCCACAGTAGGTTATTGCTAGTGTTATCCGGAAAACGGACATCGGATTGCCATAGAGATCCATTCCTTATGATGATGCATTATAGCAACTATGGTACACCCATTTTCGATTATGGTGAATTTCGGTTAAGCCCTTCTATTAACTTACTTAACAGACATTGTCATTTGGATAGTAACAGTTTGCATATTTCTTTGTTCTGTTATGGTCACCAGAACACACGACAGACTCTAACCAAAACGTTGATTGCTTAAATATCATTCGATGACTCATCTTCCCCCCATAAATGTATGCACTCAAATCTTATTATTGACTTTTGTTTTGTCATGTTGCGCCCTTAAACAATTTGACTATAAATTTGCCTATATAATTGCTCGCTACTGCTCGCCGATACTTACTCATGTGCTTGTAACTTTGTGGCCTGTATCATTTGATAATAAACTGTAGTTGAAGCTTATCTTTGCCTTCTGATTTCATGCACCTTCGAGACTTGTATTATAACGGTTATCCAGGTGAAAGGTTAGCGAAGCATTGCACTACAGCTTCTTGTGACCCAGCAGCTCCTGACACGTTGAAGTTGGTGCTTCTTTGTTCCCTTTCCAATTATCCACCATCGTAGTTTCTTCTTATTTCAGTAGGTCCTGTAAGGCTTGGAACCTATTATTGAGGATTATTTTGAATTGGTCGAGTTTGTTAGTATCTCGAAGGTGGACTGTAATGAACTTTTGTACTTCTGTATCCCCAGCTGTCCAGTGTTTCTTTATCTTCAGTTTCGTCTTGGCCACAACCAGGTGGTAATCTCAAGCTGTGTCAACTTCTCTCCTGGTTCTCACGTCTTCCATTGACATTTTGATTTTTTTTAATGACGCAGATATCATCGATCTGGTTCTGTGCAGTGTGATGCGGGGAGACCCGTGTAGTTTTGCATAGTTATTCATGCGGGGGAATATTGTACCAGCCTTAAAAATTTTGTTGAATGTACATAAATTTGCAAATCTGTCACCATTCTCATTTCTTTCTCTTAGCCAGTACACGTCGTCCCATAATATATCGATAGCCGTTGTTGCGCATTCAGATTTCGATAGTATAAACTTATGTTCTCGACATACAACTAATGTTCATTCATTTCATTGGTACGTAGCAACCGTCGTTTCCTACATTTTCAGCGACAACCTAAACCGAACTTCCGCAATTTTTGTTTCACTATGATCCCTACTTTAATGTCTATACACAAATCAAGTATTTGACGCCGCATTACCAGCCGATTAGTAATGATTATGTTCATATTATCTATTTATTCACATATATAACTGAATGCTGCATCATCCATTACCCATAAACACTGTTCGGTTACTGTAATTATTATTCTACTCCCATTGCACTGTACACCAGAACATAGAGTTTAGAGCAAGTCTCTCATAGATACACTTTTGTTCGTCACATTCAAGTCAGTCTCACTCGCTGTAATCGATTATCATATGTATTGGTACTTTTATCATACTTTAATACGGTTTCGTAACAAACGAGGTCGAGCGCATATCCCTCTAACTACACAAACCACTCTAGGCTTCATGACTAAAAAGGAATACGACTCCGCATATCTCGTCTCATCAGTCACTATTCTGTTCCTCTGGTCATTCTACTAATATATATTTAGCGACAACTCAACGCAAACGACAACGTACACTGACTTCGTATTTTATAATCATTATCAATAGCAGTATAGCAACGAATATCACCCATTGATGCAGTTATCATCGTACGGCTGGATTATTTTTATCCCACATGAACTCCAGGTATGTAAATTCGAATCCGCTCATCGCCAATCGACACTATTTACTCTACTGCGGCTTACCAGAACATATTCATATTTCACTGTTCTTTATCATCATACTCAGTCAGCATCACAGAGCAATTACTGTTATACTCTATTTTCACGATATTTCAATTTGCGCATATGAACCAGTTATTTTATCATCCAGACAGTCACGACATAAATGCATGTTGCATTTTTTGTACGCTTACTAATGTACTCATAATCAGATGCTAGCATTTCAATTTTTGTCCGCATCTTGACAATATTCATGTACATTTTTGCATAAGTATGACACACGTTTAATACGCTCACCCCTCACATGACACTGTGATTTATCGGGTGTTCTACAATTTTTCCCTACATGTTAACACTATTTACATACCGCTTCAGTGTCATTTTTCGAAAACACATTTTTTTATAAATGTGCTGTTTTCTACAAGGGGGCTATGTAGTACCAGTTTATATATTAAGCACATATACTTTATTCTAGCTACTGGCTAAGCCAATTCACCTATACATTGAGTCATATTTTGATCTCGTTAATTACTCGCTTATTAACCTTGACTATTTTTTTATATGAGCGTATGTGTATGCACACTTCGTATCTTATTCATCATATGTCTGTCATTCATTTTTGTCTGACTATAAATGTTGATTAACACTTGCTTAAAATGAGTTAGTTTCCCCGCCATCTCCGATGCGCATCATTTTTGCTTCGTTCGCTTTTATTCGCTTCATCACTCTGATTCTCTGACCAGATCAATGAGTATAGAAAATATATGTATTTTAAATCCATTCTCGTATTTGACTTATTTAACTCCGTTATTCACCATTTATTACATACGAGGATAGACAGTACGTACGATCAAAAAGGAATCAGATTTACGTCACGACATATCCAGTTGTTCATTCTTCTCACATCTTTTTCCATTTCTCGGCGTAATGTGTTCTTTGGTCTTCCCCTTCTCCTTAGACCATCAGGATTCCATGTGAGGGCTTGCCTTGTGACGCAGTTTAGTGCTTTACCCCCTCATTTCTTCCTCCTCTGGGTGGAATCTGGTTTGTTGTCTCCCATAGTAGCTTTTTGCTGATAGTGTCTGGTCGACAGGTCCGAAGTATTTTGCGTAGACAACTGCTAATAAACACCTGTATCTTCTGAATGATGGTTTTCGTAGTTCTCTGGGTTTCCGCCCCATGTAGTAGAACTGTCTTGACATTTGTGTTGAAAATTCTGACTTTGGTGTTGGTTGACAATTGTTTTGAGTTCCAGCTGTTCTTTAGTTGTAGATATGCTGCTTTGGCTTTGCCGATCCACACCCTCACATCTGCATCTGATTCACCGTGTTCATCAATGATGCTGCCCAGATATGTAAAGGGAATATATTTTGCTATAATCAGAAACTGTAATCCAGTTATGAGCGCTTAAGCATGCTGTCTTCTTAAATGAGGATCAGAGACAAAATTGCATGGCCACGCAGTTTTCTTGACTTTAATCAAATATTCAATTCCCACTAGCTGAAAGTGACTTCATTACTATTATACTGAGTATCCATTTTTCTGGCATTCTACTAATTTAATTATTGACATTGATGTCGTCCTAAAGAAAGCTGGGCCCGAATCTATTAGGAACTGAACTGGAGGTTGAAATTGAGGATATCACTGAGTCAAAATTTCACGTATTTTAAGCAACACGAACTCTAGGCCATCTATCGGTACAATTATACCAAGCAAATAATTCTGCAGTTCATAGATAATTAGCTGTATGTTATGATTTTAAATCTTATCAAAAATCTTGAATGTTTTGTATGTATCCGATCACCAACTGATTTTCACATGTCTCATCGTTTTCTTTACGTAAACGCATTCCTTCATTACCTCATATTTTGGTATGTTTTATTACATTTTAAAGCTAATATATTTTAGGGTTATTTTTGCTAATTCGTAAAGCTCACATTTTTGTTCAGCCTACTAGATACATTACTACCAATGAAAATTGGATTAGAAGAGTATTCTTATAGTTTGCTTTATGCTTGGTCTAATGTTATTCCCGTTTACATCTTTTTACAAAAATGTTTTGTTTGTCACTACTATTATACATGCAAACAGTATAGGCCGTTTGATATTAGTTGCAAATGATCTGATTAATAAAGTTTTTTAAACTAATAAACGGGAGTATATTATTATTTGGTTTAATATGATCTATAATAGTTTTTGTAGTGACGGAATGTGGTTGATGCAACAGAATACCAAAGTTCTGCTCAGCAGGCCACATTATTCATAACTAAGATGAATGTGCCATCATAGCTAAGTGAGGCCGGTACATAAATAGTTGCTTCCGTGTGCAAAACGTCACTGAAAGCAGCTGGATTAGAAACAGAGAAAGTTGCACGGGCTATCGTGGTTTGTAAGGACTCAAGTCACATATTTGATGAAGTATGTAACCACTGATACAGCTATGAATTCTTGAAGTAAAGTCAAATGGTGAATTTATAATATATCAGTGGCAAAGTAAATGGTGACAGCAAATCGTTTGACAACGAGTTTCTTTAATAAAAAATTTGTACATATTTTTCAAAAATATTCGTGACCAGTTTATCCCATTAAGGAAAATATTCTATTTTAGTATGTTTAGGTGACTTTAGATTTTTGAGTACAATAACAAGCATGATGAAGACGTTCTATTATGGGATAATCTAGGGATTTCAAATTGATGGTTTGGTATGTACTTTTTGGAAGCATGGGGTAGAAAAGTGCCGAGATGTCGATTAGTTCCAACTACTAACATCTTTCGATGATTATAAAATCACTCTCCACTGGTTTTATTATAAACTAATCTAACACATAGTAATCTATGACCAAAAACCGTAAATCGGCATAGACATTCGACTAATGTAGGTTTCAAACTCTTTATAACTGCCTAAACTCTACAATAACTGCGTGTTTCAAACTTTGGTTCTGGTCTCAATCAAACCGTACTTAAAATATGGCATGGTGAACTCAATGCAAAACTATTACTTTTGAGTAGAAAATGTGAATTAAAATGGGTCTGTACCACAATACACAATATCAACACTTTTCTGGCACATACAAAGAGGGATTAGACCTCTATGATGCTACAAACTGCAAGGATTAATACTGCTCGTAAGACATTCGATCCCCACCAGGAAAGGCTGAAAGACGGAATGCCAGAGCTCTTATATTTTGTAAGAGTAAACATTTCTAAGAATTTGGACACTGGGAAATGACATTAACTATTATTGGAAATCGGTACTTTCTATTGAGTGGAAAAATGAAACAGATAGTTTTTGCTGATGTTTCATTATTTGATAATGATGAAGTTATTTTTCTGATGACCCTACTTTGAAGAACATGCTAGCAATAAATAAGAGAACTTCAGTAGTTTTAAACGTTACCAACATTATTATTCACCACATAGCATTCCTTATTTAAAACTCAAGATTCCTAAAATGAAGGCCGCTTAAGTGTTTAAAAAATCATACATAACGAAGGACAAGAGTATCAGTTAACAATATGTTGTCGAATCTACATGAATAGTAGTGTTCATTTATCGATAACATAAAGCATGTTTTCGTGGACGTTGTGACTTACTCTAACAGTTTAAGCGCCTCACCTCTTGGTACTGCTACGTACCTATGATTCTCCATTATATCGCAAACATTTTGTATTTTAGTTCCCGTATTTGGTGACACGATACAACGGATAGCAGGAACATACTGTCCCAACTGTTTCCTCACTTGTTCCATGAATGAGCTCCACGTTAGAGCTAGTCTTTGATTGATGAAGACGCGTCTCCCTGGGTTGAATGTATCTCCATTTCGATGAACTATGAATGATACGCCATTACGTCTATCACTACATGAGCTTTTGACTCTACAAAGACAAGCAGTGCAACGGCGCGCGTAAATAGCCATCGTGTGAACAGATTTTTGTAATGCCACACTGTTAACCTTTGCAAGGTTGAAGCGACACTATGTCCAATGGATTAAACTTAGCTTGACAGAATTGAGAAACTATCTGTACCTTAGGATCAAGCATGAGTGTATGGAATAAATAGATAATCTAAATGTTACAAATATGCTTTCCGACCAGCGAATCCGTCTTAAAATAAAAAGTTTCCGCCTTAGGACAGTGACAATGAGCCGTTTTAACAGAAAAATCCTCATTATTTTCTTATCATTACTTGAGAAGTATATATTACTAATCAAAACAGCATCCTTAGCCTTTATTCATCGTTTTTGAGAAAGGATTCAGAGAATTATAATAACGCTGCCAACAATACCAAGAAAACGAAATCTCTCTTTGAAAACATGTACAGGCATCAATAACTTTTTTCTTGAGGATAAACTATTTAAGCGGTAAATAAATCCCCAAAATCAATAGCACTGTAAGTGTTCGACATTGGATGCTGACCACATTCGTTTTAATGAACTCTCCCAGCTCAAGGTGCTCGGTCATACATCCGCACCAGATCACGAGTGAGAACGCAGTGCCCAACTTCTCCTGCAATCACTAGGTAGTTTACATCAGTCACTTCTCGACATACTGATAATCTATCAAAAACAACTTCCAACCTCCTCGATTCTGACTTTTGATTTCGCTTGATGGATAAGATTCATAATAGGTGTTACTGGTTAAGAAGTTGTCAAACTCTGAATACCTGTGACTATCTCCAAATGAGATAATGTAGTAATAAAGAACAAATGCTGTTAAAAAGTAAGTAGATAAATATGCATCTAATGCACATGATATACGAGGAGAATTTATGAATGCTATGATTGAGTTGTTCCAAACATCGTTGCACTTGAGATAAACTCGTACGAAATAAACCGATCAATATTAGCATCTTGTAAACGTCAAACAGGTGAAGGTAAAATGTTCAGTGTTTTGATTCACATCACCGAATGATCTCTGTAACATAGCTTTTTCAAGAAGGGAATCAATGGAAAGTTGTTGCGTTCCACTATGGACTTCTCAACAATGTGGATAGATGAGCCCATCGACAGTTCAAACTGTAATCTTCACGTCCCTGTGTGAAGACTTAACCTTCAGACCAATGAGTTCTCATCTCATAGTTTTCCTGTCTGATTAGGATCAGTCCATGGTGTAAAAAATGATGTTCAACAGTCTCTACAGACCAACTTTAATGAAAATATCCGTTAGCGATCAACAGATACTGTAAAATAAATGAAGAGAAGTTAAACAACCCTAAATGGCTTTTAAGCAAATCTTATTGGTGAAAAGAGAATGATTATGATTCACGACGAGCTTCATTACTGGATACACCACCGGTTGCATTTATAAGTAAAGAAGTAACATATATGTGAAATCATTGACATAAGAGTAACTTCACTTCAGTCACGTATTGTTTGAGAATTCCGAAAAGCACTTTGAATATGGTGGACTGATTAGATATTAGAATAATATTATGGAATGTATCAAACTGCTTATTTGGACTTGCTTTATGTTGATTCATTTTTCATGTCTCACACTACTGTGAAATTCGATAGAAATAACCAGAGTTTTGAAAAGATATTCAATCATTCAACTTCCCAAATCACGTAATTACGTAAGGACAAACTGCACAGTGTAAAGAACCGGTCAGAATGAAGTTTACGCTTTCTACGAGAAAAAGTTATTCGAACCAGACAGATACACTGTACGTATCACTGTGATAACAATTCATTTATTTGCAACTTAGAAAAAATACACTTAAAATTTGAATTCGTACTCATTACCCAAGGTAGTATAAATCTAGGCTTGGTACCCCAGTGGATAATACAATGGATATGTTGTAGTGCCGTGCTTCAATGTTAGTTCACTTCGATAACCGTTATTATACCAATCTTAACGGTGTATAAAATCAGAAGGCAAAATTAAGCGGCAACTACATGTTTATTGATGAATGATGCAGACCAGAAAGCTGTGAGCACATTAGCAAGTGTAAGCAATCGAAGCAAAGATGATGTGTACTGGAGATGGAGGGGAAGCCAACTCCTTACGCCTGTTAATCCCAATGGAGCATAGGCCACCGACCACCATTCTCAAACCCACTCTGTCCTGAGCCTTCTTTTCTAGTTCTATCCATTTGTTGTTCATTCTTCTCATGTCTGTCTCTATTTCTCGACGTAATGTGTTCTTCGGTCTTTCTCTTCTCCTTTGACCTTGACAATGCCAAATGAGGGCTTGTCTTGTGACTCAGTTAGGTGATTTCCTCAATGTGTGTCCCACCCACCACTTCCAGCACTTCTTCCTGCTTTTTTCCTCCATTGGATGGAATTTGTTTTGCTGTCTCTTACAATAACTTGCTGCTGATAGTGTCTGGCCATCGGATCCGAAGTATCTTGCGTAGACAACTGTTAATAAACACTTATATCTTCTGGATAATGGCTTTCGTAGTTCTCCACGTCTCCGCCCCATACAGAAGAACTGTCTTGACATTTGTATTGAAATATTTGCTGTTGGTGTTGGTTGACAATTGTTTTGAGCTCCAGATGTTTTTCAGTTGTAGGTATGCTGCTCTTGCTTTGCCGATCCGTGCCCTCACATCTGCATCTGATCCACCGTCTTCATCAATGATGCTGCCCAGATATGTAAAGGTTTCCACATCCTCCAAAGCTTCTCCGTCAAGTGTAATTGGATTGGTGCATATTGTATTGTATCGGAGAGTCTTTATTTTCTCTTTGTTTATATTGAGACCTACTGCTGTTGAGGCTGCTGCTACACTGGTAGTTTTCTCCTGAATTTGTTGTTGCGTTTGTGATAGAAGAGCCAGATCATCCGCGAAGTCTAGATCGTCTAGTTACATCCTGCCTGTCCACTGTATCCCGTGATTTCCTCCAGTCGTTGACGTCTTCATGATCCAGTCGATGACCAGGAGAAAGAGAAAGGGTGAGAGTAAGCAACCTTGCCTAACACCGGTCTTTACCTCGAACGAGTCGGTGAGTTGTCCTCCGTGAACGATTTGGCAGTTTAGTCCATCATAGGAGTTCCGTATGATATTGACTATCTTCTCAAGCACGCCGTAGTGTCGAAGAAGCCTCCATAGTGTCGTCCTGTCCACGCTATCAAATGCCTTCTCTTAGTCGATGAAGTTGATGTAGAGTGATGAATTCCATTCGATTGATTGTTCCACAATGATACGTAGAGTTGCGATTTGATCTGTGCACGATCTATCCTTACGAAATCCAGCTTGTTGATCTCGAAGTTGAGCGTCCACGGAATCCTTCATCCTGTTTAACAATACTCGGTTGAAGACTTTTCCTGGTATTGAGAGGAGAGTGATGCCCCTGTAGTTGTCGCACTTGCTAAGATCGCCTTTCTTTGGTATCTTGATGAGAAGTCCTTCTTTCCAGTCTGTTGGTACATGTTCTTCGTCCCAAATCTTACTGAAGAGGATGTGTAGTGTCTTGGCAGTTGCTGCTACATTTGACTTCAGTGCCTCTGCCGGGATGTTGTCTGGTCCCGCTGCTTTGCCACTCTTGATTTGTCTAATGGCTATGCTGATCTCTTCAATTGTTGGTGGGCCAATATCGATTGGGAGGTCTGTGGGTGCTGCTTCGATGTTGGGTGGGTTCAGTGGAGCTGGTCGATTCAAGAGTTCTTTGAAGTGTTCTACCCACCTGTTTCGTTGTTCTTCAACGTCGGTGATTACTTTGCATTCCTTGCATATCACTGGTCTTTCTGGCTTACGGTAATTTCCAGCAAGTTTCTGTGTTGTATCATACAATTTTCTCATGTTTCCCTCTCTTGTAGCCTTTTCCGCTGTCATTGCTAAATCTTCCACATATTTACGTTTGTCAGTTCTGATGCTCCTCTTCACTTGCTTGTTTGCCTCTGTGTATTCGGCTTGTGCCTTGGCTGTTTCCGCTCTCGTTCGGCTGGTGTTGATTGCTGCATTCTTCTTCCTCCTTGCTTCAATCTTATCCAGTGTACCAACAGTGATCCATTCCTTGTGATGGTGCTTCTTTTGGCCCAGAACCTCCTGACATGTTGAAAAGATTGCCTCTTTTATCCCTTTCCAGTTTCTCTCCATGGTAGTTCCTTCTCCATTGAGTAGATCATGAAAGGCCTCGAACCTGTTGCTGAGGGCTATCTTGACATTGTTGAGTTTGTCAGCATCTCGAAGAAAGGCCGTATTAAACTTTTGTGATGTTGTCCACCCCTTTGTCCAGTGCTGCTTGAGTTTTAGTTTCATCTTGGCGACCAGCAAATGATGATTTGATGCCATATCAGCTCCTCTTGTGGTTCTCACAACCTCCATCGTCCTCCTGAACTTTTTGTTGATGCAGATATGGTCGATTTGATTCTGTGTAGTGTGATCCGGTGAAATCCAAGTGGCTTTGTGTATGTTTTTGTGTGGAAATATGGTGGCACCTATGACCAGTTTATTGAAGGCACATAGGTTTGCAAATCTCTCACCATTTTCGTTCCTTTCTCCCAGTCCATGTTGTCCCATGACGTCTTCGTATCCAGTGTTGTCCTTTCCTTTGTGTGGGCTTGTGACCGGCAGTAACCCCCAGAGGAGTTACAGGCGGAGTTATGAGCAAGCATCACTCAATATTTATAATCAGGCAAAAGTGAATGACAGACATATGATGAATAGGATACGAAGGGTACACATTTACGCTCATATAAAAAGTAGTCAGGGTTAATAAGCGAATCATGAACAAGACCAAAATATGATTCATAATGGATAGGTGAATTAGCTTGGCCAGAAGCTTGAATAAAGTATATGGGCTTAACA